TGAACTTAAACATGTGCCTGCACTCATCTCCAGCATCCAGTTGACCTTCATCCTACCTTCTCCCTCTACAGAGCTGGTAGACTGTGATGTTATCGACAAAGCCTGTGGAGGTGGCCTGCCTTCGAATGCTTACGAGGCTATTGAGAAGTTGGGTAAGTCTGCAAGGGGTCAAACTATGTTTCTTGCAAGATGAAGCTGGACCTGTTTTGGGGAAGGTGGCACTTTGTCAGTCTCGCCGTGTCTACAGAGAAGAAGGGTTTGAAGGCTTGTGGGGTCCTTGGTGGGAGGAGGAAGGGAAGAGGAGGAGGAGGAGACTGTGGGGTCCTTGGTGCTCTCTGAGCTTTGTTGTTTTCTTGCAGATGTTTCATGACCCAGCTAGGTAACATCATCAGTGCTAGAAGGAAGTTGGGTTTTAGGACAGGAGGAGGTGGAGAAGGAGGAGGCTGTGGGGTCCTTGGTGTTCTCTGAGCCTGGTGGTTTTCTTGCAGATGTTTCATGACCCAAGTAGGTAACATCAGTGCTAGAAGGAAGTTGAGTTTTAGGACAGCAGGAGGAGGACTGCGACTGGGACTGGAGGATCCTTGGTGCTCTGAGCTTTTGTGATTTTCTTGCAGACGTTTCATGACTCAACTAGGTAACATCATCAGTTCTCCTGCTTGAGCAGCAGGGCTTTTCAACCGGTGGTACGTGTATCACCTGTGGTACTTTGCCACCGTGGCAGGTGGTACATGACTGCTAGCCAAGTGTAGCAGGGGAGGGGAATGAACCGAAGCTACCCAAGCCTGAGGGAGGGGCAGCTGCAGCTGCAGGACTGTCTGGGCTCGGCGTGGTTTGGGTGGGAAAGGGAAAAAAAAGACAACAGGGAAAGAGGAGGAGAGCTCAGCAGGCAGGGAGGAAACAGGGACAGAGAAGAAGCAGCAGCTGTTGCTGGAAGGTCCCCGGGTTCGTCTTCTCCAGGCAGGAGAATGCAATCAGCCGGCATGTCGGAAAGGAGGTGGGTTTATTTAGTTCTGGATCAGCTGGCAGCTTGATTGGGTTACCATAAGGATTTTTGTACAGTTTTTACAGCGTTTTGTAATTCAGAGGCTCCCTTTGTGTGCTTTGGTTATTGGAATATTTTAGTCTGTATTTTAGGCCAGCAATGAGTCCAAAGTGTTGACTTCTGTAGGTTTAATCCCTTTAAACAAATGTAATTAGTTTTACTCCCTTATCTTGAGTCTGTCTGTGGCTTTTAGAAAGTTTTCTTTGAAGGTAAACAGGCTTCATTTAAGGCTAAAGCCTTTCAGTCTCCGTTGCAACATTGTGCCTGAGGCAGCTTAAAGAAAAGAAAAAAAACCCAGAGTTTACCTGTTTCTTTATTTTGTGAGCCTTTCTTGCTTTGCACTTGATTCCTGTGTCTTTAAAGGTACAGGGAAGGGATTTGGGGGGGGGGAGTGCATTCTTACTACACTGTGGAAAGAGCTCAGAAGGGAGAGAGGAAGAAGGACTGACCAGCTAGCTCAGGGGTCTACAAACTTAGCAACTTTAAGACCTGTGGACTTCAACTCCCAGAATTCCTCATCCAGCCATGATGGCTGAGGAATTCTGTGAGTTGAAGTCCACGAGTCTTAAAAGTTTGAAGACCTCTGAGCTAGCTGGTGGTGATGCATATTAATAAACATGGATAAATTCATCATACATTTGTCAGTGCAAAGGGAAAGTGATTCAGCAAAGCAACAGCCACCCAAGAAATTAAAACTGGTACTTTTTTCCTACAGTTTGTAATATTTTATTTGATTATAGAGTAAAATACAAAAATACAAAAGCAAATAGTAGGAGACAGTGGGGAGGAAAAAGGGGGGGAAAGTGAGGAGGAGAAGGGAAAAAGAACAGACTTCTTCTGTTGCAGTAGAAGGAAGCATTAACATTGAACCTCAACTTTTTACTTTTCCATTTCTATAACAACAAATGAATCTAATCAGTAAAACCCCAAATCCCCCCCCCTTTTTTTAGTCATCAAGTTTTTGACACCTTGCTATAAGCACTAGTGGTACTCAAATATTGTCATGTCCTAAAAGTGGTACAATCTGTGAAAAGGTTGAAAAGCCCTGGACTAGAAGACCTCCAAGGTCCCTTCCAGATTCTATTCCAGTGATGGCAAACCTTTTAGAGACCGAGTGCCCAAAACCCACTTATTTATCGCCGGGTGCCAGGTGGGTGAGGCCCACTGGGTGGTTGTGGTTGTGGTCATGGCAGATTGGGTGGGTGTGACCACCTCAATGTTGCTCGTGGGGAGGGACGTCTGTGGGGGCTGGGCAGGGTTGGGGGAGATCCAGGGAGTCTCTGGCAGTTGGGGCGGTGGGCAGGAGCCTCGTCCTGTGGGGGGAGGCAAGGCAAGGCGAGGCAGGGCGGGGGTGCCATTATCACAGGGCATGGTGAGGCAGGAGCTGGGGTGGCTGCTGCCTGACACCATCGGCCGCTGCACACAGAGACCGGCGCGCGCATGGGTGCTGGGATGCATCTGGCCATGTGGGACCTCGGCGAGTTCGTGGGCGGCTGGTTGAAGAGGGACGGTTGCCATCTCTGGGGCATGGCGTGTGTGCCCACAGAGAGGGCTCTGGGTGCCACCTCTGGCACGCATGCCATAGGTTCGCCACCACTGTTCTATTCTATTCTATTCTATTCTATTCTATTCCATTCCATTCCATTCCATTCCGTATTTTCTATTCTATTCCATTCCATATTTTATTCTGTTCTGTTCTGTTCTATTCGGGAGGGAGGTTTTAGGACAGCAGGAGGAGGAGGAGGAGGAGGAGGAGGAAGAGGCTAATTGGTCTTTGCTTCAGCCTGGACTTTTTAAACAGAAAACAGGCTTTCTGTGCAGAGAGCAACTCGGAGAAGTGAATTGCTCTTTTGTGTGGTGTTTTGCTGAGCAAGCAGTCCTGGACGGGTGATGTTGAGGCCATCGGCTTCTGAAGCTTCTGCTATTTGTCGTTGTTTCAAGCAAAAATCTGCTTTGCGCCTGTGGAGAGCAGCCCCACCTGGGCTGCCCTCTTCAAAGCTGGGAGGTCAGAGTTAAGAGGGGCTGAGTAAAGGTAGTCCTCGTTTTGCAACCAGAATTTCTGTTGCTAAGTAAGGTGGTTGTTCAGTGAGTTGTGCCTGATTTTACAACCTTTTTGCCTGGTTGTTTAGTGAATCACTGCAGTTGTTAAGTGAATCACACGGTCATTAAGCAAATCCATCTTCCCCTGTTGAATTTGCTTGTCAGAAGCTGTCTGGGAAGGTCACAAATGGTGATCATGTGACCCTGGGATGCTGCGACCGTCATAAACAGATGCGGGTTGCCAAGTGCCTGAATTTTGATCACGTGACCCTGGGGATGCTGCAATGGTTGTAAGCATGAGGACTGGTCATAAATGACCTTTGTCACCCTGTTGTAACTTCGAATGGTCTCTAAAGGAACGAGTGTAAGTCAAGGGCCACCTGTCATAGCTGAACTAGATTTCAAAAAGGCCTGATTCATTTGTTAACAGGACTACAGTATAGGTAGTCCTCAACTTACGGCCACAATTGAGCCCAAAATTCCTGTTGCTAAGTGAGACATTTGTTAAGTGAATTTTGCCCCATTTTATAGTCTTTCTTGCCACATTTGTTGAGTGAATCACTGCAGTTATTAAGTTACTCACACGGTTGCTAGGTGGATCCGGCTTCCCCCGTTGACTTTTCTGGTCAGAAGGTCGCAAAAGGGGATCAGGTGGCCCCCAGGATACTGCAACCGTCATAAGTACACGCCAGTTGCCAAGCATCTCAATTCTGATCACGTGACCCTGGGGATGCTGCAATGGTTGTGTGAAAAACGGTCATTTTTTCAGTGCCGTTGTAATTTTGAACTGTTGTAAGCCGAGGACTGCCTGTATTCTAGTGTATTGCACTATTTTTTTCTCCTGAGAGTTAAAAATAAGAATTGCCCGACAACCTTTGGAAGCTGGATCCAAGACCGGAGGCTGTTCCAGTCATTGAGTCTTAGTTTTCCTAACAATAACCGAAGGATTTTTCTTCTGCTTTCAACATGGCTCTAAAGCAGGGGTAGTCAACCTTGGCTCTTTTATGACTCGTGGACTTCAACTCCCAGAATTCCTGAGCCAGCTAAGCTGGCTCAGGAATTCTGGGAATTGAAGTCCACGAGTCATAAAAGAGCCAAGGTTGACTACCCCTGCTCTAAAGTCTCCTTTGATTTTCCCAACCGGAGTCTCTGTTTCCCTTCTGATTTTCCCAAGTTCCTTCTGGAACCTTCCTTGGATGAGGTTTCTGCCTTCCATTTTTCCAGGTGGCCTGGAGACCGAGGGGGATTACAGCTACCAAGGTTTCGAGCAGAACTGCGGCTTCTCCAGGCAGAAAGTGGCTGCTTACATCAACAGCAGCCTGGGCGTCTCCCAGGACGAGAGCGGTGGGCATTCCGTGACTTCGGCTCAGTTGGCCTCTAGGAAGGGGGTTGCTTGCAAAGGAAGAAGGAAGTAAAGAGAACAGAAATCAAAAGACAAAAGGAAAAAGGAATAAAGGGAGGGAGGGAGGAAGAAAAAAAAAGGAAAGAAAAGAGAGGAAGGGAAGGAAAGAAAAGAAAGAGGAAAGAAAATGTAAGAGGAAAAGGAAAAGGAAAGGAAACAAAAGATGAAAGGAAAGAGAAGGAAAAGATTGCCTTAACAACGTATGACCGCAATAACTTATAACTGTAATTCCATGCACAATAATAGTCATAACTCGAGGACTACCTTATATGATGATGTAGTAACTCCTGCAGTGCATGTATATCTACACTTGTCAGGAGTTTTCACTTGAAATGAATGATGCGTGAGAAATTTTCTTTTGGGGGGTGGAAGGGTGGGACCTCAGGCAGCACCCCTTCCTTGGGCCAGGTGCCCCCCCCCTTACCTGTGCTCCTCTCTCCTTGGACAGAGATTGCAGCCTGGCTGGCCAAGAACGGTCCCATCTCCATTGCTCTGAACGCCTTTGCTATGCAGGTGAGAGACTCACGAAAGAGGTGGAGGTTCTGGAAAGAGGGCAGGGAAGAGCAGCTAAGGTACTCGGGGGGCTGAAGGCTAAAACATACAAAGAACGGTTGCAGGAACTGGGTATGTCTAGTTTAATGAAAAGAAGGATTAGGGGAGACATAGCAGCCTTCCAATATTGGAGGGGCTGCCACGGAGAAGAGGGGGGGGGGTCCACCTATTCTCCAAAGCACCTGAAGGCAGGACAAGAAGCAACGGATGGAAACAGCCGTACCACTTTATACGGCCTTGGTGAGGCCACACTTAGAATAACTGCATCCAGTTCTGGTCACCATAATATAAGAAAGATGTTGAGACTCTGGAAAGAGTGCAAAGAAGAGCAACAAAGATAATTAGGGGACCGGAGGCTAAAACATACGAAGAACGGTTGCAGGAATTGGGCATGGCAAATCTAGAGAAAAGAAAGACCAGCATTCCAGTATTTGAGGGGTTGCCACAGAGAAAGGGGGGGGGGTCATCAACCTATTCTCCAAAGCACCAGAAGGCAGGAGAAGCAGCAACAGATGGAAACTAATCAAGGAGAGGAGCAACCCTAGAACTAAGAAATTTCTTGATAGTGAGAACAATTAACCAGTGGGACAGCTTTGCCTTCAGAAGTTGTGGGTGCTCCATCACTGGAGGTTTTTAAGAAGAGACTGGACAGCCATTTGTCTGAAATGTTACAGAGTTTCCTGCTTGGGTAGGGGGTTAGACTAGAAAACCTCTGAGGTTCCTTCCAAGTCTGTTTGCCATAATTACATTTAAGTTTTCTTCTCTCTTTCTCCAGTTCTACCGCAAAGGCGTTTCCCACCCCTTCTTCGTGCTCTGTAATCCCTGGATGATCGACCACGCGGTCCTTTTGGTGGGCTATGGCACACGTGAGTGGCTGTTTTGTGTCGAGAAAATCTTGTGGGATGTCTGTGAGTGTGTCTTGATTTCTGGTTCTTTATTCTGGGTTTTTTCTTTCCGAATCTCCTTTTTTGTAACTCCTTCTATGTGCTTTTGACTCTGTTCCCTGGGATGGCAGAACTGGGCCATCACTTTGGAAATGAGCATCATCCTGCTTCGGAGGGCTGCACAAGCTGGATTGGAGCTGGTAGACCTGAACAAAAGAGGCAAACACATTTCATTCCAGGGTGGAAAAACAAAAGCAGCCCTTCCTCTCCTTCCCCCAACAGTTGGAAGCCTAGAATAGGTTAACATTTTGATTTTTAAACATGTGAGTTTATTTTTGGAGCATGAATGCTCCTGAACAGAAGCTGATTCCTTTCACACGGTCACTTTTGACTCTGCATTCAATATGGAGGAGACTCTTTTCACCCTGAACGTATTTCAGCTAATCTGCAAAGCACCGTAGGAAATCCGTCCATCAGAACTAAAAGCCAAGACTCACTTTCGCAGTAGGATCTCTTTGATTCAGTGTTTCACAATGCTGGCAACTTTAAGAGGGCTGGACTTCCCCTCCCAGAATTCCCCAGCCAGCCATGCTTCATGGGGAATTTGGGAGTTGAAGTCCACCCCTCTTAAAGTTGCCAAGGTTAAGAAACACTGTCCAGTCCAACACGCTGAATTCTGATGGGATTTCTCCTTCACACAACTCCATTTGGCCCAGCTGGGGATCATGGGAGTTGTGATCAGCTGTTTCCTGAGAGCCTGCTCTGCTTTCTTCTCTGAGTCGTTCCCTGGAAGCGAATAGCATGCAGGGCCATTTCGTGACCATTGTGTCTCCTTCCCACAGGTGGCCAAATTCCCTTCTGGGCGATCAAGAACAGCTGGGGCGGAGACTGGGGAGAGAAGGTATGGCTGGGACCCTGATCAGTGGGGAGAAGGGTGGGAGGAGGGGCTCCTCCAGTGGGCTATTACAGGCAGTGCTCAACTTACAACAGTTCATTTAGTGACTGTTCAAAGTTACAACAGCACTGGAAAAAGTAATTTATGACCGTTTTTTCACACTTATGACCGTTGCGGCATCCCCATGGTTACGTGATCAAAATTCAGGTGCTTGGCAACTGGTTTGTATTTATGACGGTCGCCGTGTCCCAGGGTCACCTGATCCCCCTTTATGACCTTCTGGCAAGCAAAGTCAATGGGGAAGCCGGAGTCACTTAACGTAACAACCGCAATGCTTCACTTAACAGCTGTGGCAAGAAAGGTTGTAAAGTGGGACAAAACTCACTTGACAACTGATTTGCTTAGCAATGAAAAGGTTGGCTCAGTTGCAGTCATAGGTCGAGGACTACCTGTACGCCACTTCTCCTTCCGAGCTTTGAGTTGCTTGTCTCCTCTCTCCTACAGGGCTACTACTACTTGTACCGTGGGAGCCATGCCTGTGGCATGAACACCATGTGCAGCTCCGCAGTCATAAATTAGCCACCTTCTGGCATCTGGGCAGCGTCTGCCAAGGAGTCCCACCAGGCCTTGCAGAGACTGGCACTTGCCTCTCCCCCCCCCCCCCCCCCCCCCCCCCCCCCCCCATGGAAAGCAGCAGCCCAGAGAACTGGAGCTTCATCCCACCGGGACAGGGGTGTCAAACTGCCGGCCCACCGGCCGGGTGCATCATGCAGAGGCTGCGCCCACCCCAGCTCCGGCAATGCAAAAAAAGTTGTGATATATCGCAACACATCACGTGACGCGGCGAGTTTGACACCCACGTACTAGGATCACCTTACGGGTCCAGAATGAGTGACTGTGTACCTGTCGGTGTGTGTGTGTGGAATACGCATTTGCCCCTCTCCATGAATCAGCCTTTCACTTCCTCTGTCTCTTTCACCAACTCATTTTTCAATTATTTTTTTCCTTGTGGGCTGCAGACCTGTAAGATCCTAAGTTTGCTTTGTTTTAACTTTGATTAATATTTTTTTTGCGGGTACAAAACCCACCAGGCAATTATGGTTCTGTGTATTGTTTGAGCTCAGGATTGAAAATGTAGCTAGTCCTCAACGACCACAATTGGGAACTGAGTTTTCGTTGCTAAGTTAGACAAGTGTTAAGCGAGTCATGCCTGAATTTACTAGCTTTTTGCCCATGGCTGTTAAGCAAAACACTATAGTTGTTAAATGAATCACGTGGTCATTAAATCAATCCAGCTTCCCCCCCTTAACTTTGCTGGTTGGAAGGTCGCAGATGGCGATCACATGACGCTGGGTTGCGGCAACCATGTTGAACATTTGCTGGATGCCAAGGACCCAAAATTTGATCACGTGGCCATGGGGATGCTACGACGTAAGACACTTTTTTCAGTGCTTTGAGTGGTTGACATACAAATCACTGTAAGTCGAGGGCTACCCATAGCTAAACATAGAGTTCCTGCAAGGCGAAATGGGTGGCAAGCAAATCTGTTAAATAAATACATAAAAATATTATATCAGTGCAACCATTTGGAACTCAGAGGGAGCCGATCCTTAAAGCTCCAGCCTCACCAGTTTATTTTTCATTAAGTTTTCAGATGACAGGCCTGCTTCCATGCAGGAAGGTGATGTAATATGTTATGGAGGGCAGAGTAAATTTTGTTCTCAGTCAATTACAGGGGAGAGTCCTGACTGAGAACTTCTACCAGAAGTATAGAGGTGTCCACCGTGTGCTAGTTGAATGTATGGTCTGACTTCTTGTAATTTAACTTAAACAATTCTGTATTAGAGGGATGTTCTGAGAAATTCCTCCTCCTTGCGAGAGCCCTTTTTAGGGACTTTGTCAGTAGTGAGCATCAGTATTATTTTCTTGGACTTGAAACCCAATAAAATGCACTTGTAACAAAAATATCTGTTTCTTAAGAATCAATACACCCAGTCTGCTTTTTTTCTCTCCCTTTCTGGGCACTCGTACGTTCTTCTCCCTTTGGGGTTAGCCACAATCATAAATGGGGTAGTTTCCTGAGCCTAAAGGTATAGGCGTTTGCAGGGTGCCTGGCGTTGTGCTGGGGTGTTTCCTGAGCTGCCTTGCAGAAGTTGGAGAACGAGAGGTTTGGGGAGCTGCAAAAGGTCCCCAAGTTCATATTTTTAGTCCCCTGCTCAGGAAAATAATTTTGGCAGTATTACAATTTACATGCACTTTACAGGATTCTTTAAGGTCATCTAAAATTGGTTGGGCTCAACACACTTGTGTTTCACTGTTCACGGCAATAGAAATTTGGAGGGAGGTTCAAAAGACTTGGGGGGAGGGATCCTTCCTCTTGGGTGGTGGGCATCACATCCCTGCAGCAAATCTTTGCAAAATCCAGCATGTACACAAGCACACCCTTGTTTGAATTGCAAGCTTGAAAACTTAGATGGGGAATACTGTTACAGAAGTAAATAGAGCAATGGGTGTTTTTTTTTCCTTTTGGGTCTCTGCAGGATTCTCCCAAAAAACAGTCCTCACTTCTAGCTGTTTCCTAATGGGATCTCCAAGGGTCATTAAGTCTGGCTTAAGTGAGACTCCAGCATTTGCCCCCAGAGTAACTGACATAGTGGCAACTGACAAACATGTATGCATTCCACTCACTGAACCACCCCAAAAGGGCTGTGACGGTGGAATCTTGATTTAGCCATCGTTACCCTTGCTATAATTTGCACGATTCAGATCCACAGGGTTGTCTTTTGGCTTTTAATTTTGATTTCTTTGTTGAACCAAGCAAAATACTACAGATGAAAAGAAGAAGAAAAAGAGAACAAACATGCAAACATTTTAAACATCCATAAATTATGGGATTTTTTAAAACTCAGAATAATGCTCCACATTTTGAAATACAATTAAAGCAAATCTATTTATTAGTTGTTATTAGTTGTTACCTTGGAGTCCTAGTGGACGATCACTTGACTATGACCCAGCAGTGTGCAGCAGCAGCCAAAAAAGCTTAATACAATCCTGGGTTGCATAAACAGAGGCATAGAATCAAGATCACGCGAAGTATTAGTACCACTTTATAAAACCCGAGTGAGACCACACCTGGAATACTGCAGCCAATTTTGGTCACTATATCACAAAAAAGATGTTGAGAGATTGGAAAAAAATCAGAGAAGAGCAACTAAGATGATCCAAGGCCTGGAGACTAAAACATACCAAGAACAGCTATAGGACTTGGGTTTGGCTAGTCTAAAGAAAAGAAGAAATAGGGGAGACATGATAGCAGTGTTCCAGTATTTGGAGGGCTGCCACAAAGAAGAGGGGGTCAACTATTCTCCCAAGCACCAGACGGCAGGACAAGAAACAATGGTTGGAAACTGACCAAAGAGAGAAGTAACCTGAAATTAAGGAGAAACTTCCTGACTGTAAGGACAATCAACCAGTGGAACAGCTGGCCTCCAGAAATCGTGGGCGCTCCATCACTGGAGATCTTTAAGAGACTAGACAGTCACTTGTCTGAGATGGTATAGGTTCTCCTGCTTGAGCCGGGGGGGGGGGGGGCTGGACTAGAAGACCTCCAAAGTCCCTTCCAGCTCTATTCTATGCTATTAGACTATATGATGCGAACATAATGTACATCCAAATCAAGTGACAGGTGATGTTAGCTCTTGTGTTGGGGGCAAGAAACCAGGAACAGGAGTTGAGTTCAAAGCACTAAGTTTTATCACATAACCTATGCATAAGAATCTGATCTACTAACAGTTCAAGCCAATTGGTGCTAGATAAGGATCAATGGAATTAGTGGTTTATAGTTTAAGGCAATATTTCTCAACATGCTTTAAGAATGTAGACCAATTCCACAGCTGGCTGGGGAATTCTAGGAGTTGAAGTCCACCCATCTTAAAGTATGCTGGCTGGCGAATTCTGGGCGTTGGAAGTCCAGCCATCTTAAAATGGCCCAGAAACATACTGCCTCCGAGGCTCTGGCCAGCCACCTCAGAAAGGACCACTCCGTAACTGCAACTCCCCCCGACTCAGACCCCGAGCAACACGTATTAGCAACTGGCTTAGCCTCCCTGGCGTACTCCACCCGAAGCGGAACGACTCGCCCTGCAGCCCTGCGGCCCGGCAGGATCGATTAGGCCGCTGTACCCGGAAGTAGGTCCCTCAGAACCGGAAGCCGGAAGTCACGCTTCTCTTGTTTCGGAGGCGAAGCGCGCTGATAATCCCTAAGCAGGTATTGTGGGCAGAGCCGGGCCGGGGGGCTCTGGGCGGGGGTGCATTTTCACGGGGATTGCGAGTGGAGGTCCGCAGGGCTGATGGCCGCCCGTGAGCCGGCTTGGAAGCCGGGGAAGCCCAGGGCAGGCTCGGGATATGGGAAAGGGGTCTTTCGCTGTGCCTGCGGGACTCGCTGCTACTTGATGTGGCCTGTTTGGAGTCAGGATGGTCGGATTATTAGGAGAGTTCGGGTGCCCATGACCGTGAGGAAGGGGAGCTTGCCTTCTTCACGTGTTCTTATCCTTCTTTATTGTTATTCTTTGTTAACGAATTCTAACAAATTGTTAACTTCTAACCCTAACCTAATGATTAATTTGTTATTTGCTGATTCGTTATTCTTTATTAATTTGGTAACTCATGTAATGTGGCTGTACTATTATTACTTATCCTCCTTACTGCCCATTTTATTGGCATTATTATTTTTATTATTGTTATTGTTTTCCATATACACTCTTTTGTAGCAAACAAATTCCTTGTGTGCCTAATCACACTTGGCCAAATAAAGTATTCAGTTCAATTCATTTGTTAATTCATTCTTTGTTGCTTTTATTCATGTACTCTTAGATTATGCAAAAATGGTACAAAAATGTGGAAAATGGCATTAACAGAGCAATGAATCAACGTAGATACTGAATTGGGATTTTTTAAAAACAACGGTTAAGGGGAATAACATGTCTTAACAATAAGGCTTTTAAAAATCTCATCTCCCAGCTCCTTCAGAAGTGTGAATGAACCAAGGAGTGAAATCAGCACTGGATCCACACTCTTCCATCTGCAGCAACATTGGCTGGCCCTGGAAGCAGGTCTGTCTCTCGAAACTACAAACTGAAGGAATATCTACAGGTAGTCCTTGACATATGACTAAAATGGAGCCCAAAATTTCCATTGCTAAGCAAGACAGTTGTTAAGTGAGTTTTGCCCCATTTTGCGACCTTTCTTGCCACAGTTGTTAAGTGAATCTGGCTTCCCCATTGATTTTGCTTATCAGAAGGTGGCAAAAGGGGAATATATGATCCCAGGACGCTGCAGCCGTCATAAATATGAGTCAGTTGCCAAGCGTCTGAATTTTGATCACGTGACCCTGGGGATCCTGCAATGGTCATAATTGTGAAAAATGGTCCCAAGTCATTTTTTTCAGTGCTGTTATAACTTCGAACAGTCACTAAATGAACTGTTATAAGTCGAGGACTACCTGTATTTTATTTTATTAAATTTTTATGTATTGGCTTAAATAAATCTTTTTACAACTTAACGTGTGATCCTGATTCTTTGTGCCTAACAGATAGAGAGTAGTGCGCCTTATTCTAAGCTCCAGAGAAACAACTGAGAATATTGGGTGGAGCCTGAGGGGCAGGTCTAAAATTTACCATCAACTTAGATATTATTTTGAAAAAATGGAACACAATATTACGTAACTGCCATTGAATTTGATTTTAGTTTAATTAAAGCACATTGATTTTTTCCCCTGGCCTTTCCTGCCCAGTTTGGGTAGTAGGCTCTCTGCAGGTTAAGTGTCCAAAGCTGTTTGCTTTCTCCATTTTGAGAGTCAATTTTTAATGGCTTTTTGCAGCATTCAACATTGTGGACGCATCCTGGAAGCAATTCATCTCAGCACAGAAACCGTTTACAGTGGTTAACAGAGCATCATGTCCCAGGCGACCAAGCGCAAACATGTGGTCAAAGAAGTGTTAGAGGAATATGTGGTTCCTTCAGAGAGACAGCAGATTGTCCGGGTAAGACTGGTTAACTTAATTAATTAGCCTGAATCGAGGTTTATGTGGACCTCCAGCGTCTAGAGCAGCCAGCAACGGGGAAAAAGTTCCGATACGTCGTGCGACGTCACATGACATCGCGAGTTTGACATGTCTGGTCTAGAGGCTGCGCAAGAGCACACTACATTCTCCCACAGCCTCTAAAAATTGTGTGAGAATTGGGTGTGCTTTCAAGAATAGTTGTGGTCTGGTGTTGTTGAGTGGCATGTCCATCTTGACACACGTGTCATAACTTCACTATCACTGGTCTAGCTGGTAGCTCAGTGTGCCGTGTGAACAGAGACCAATTTCAGATTTAGCCAGAAAACAGGCCGAGTTCTTACCGGCAACTTTGCTCTGCTCCTCCAGGTGCTGGGGACCCCAGGAAACAACCTCCATGAAGTGGAGACCCCTGAGAGGACGCGGTTCCTGGTCAGCATGCCCACCAAGTTCCGTAAGAACATTTGGATCAAGAGAGGTGAGTGGCCAGGGGTCCTTGCATTTGCAAGGGGGAAAACGGACCTCTTCTTTTCCCTCTTCCCCCTATCACAGTTGTCTATCTTTCCCTCCCTCCCTCCCTTCCTCCCTCCCTCCAGGAGATTTCTTTTTTTTTTGAGTGCGTGGAAATTTTTTAGTGTATTCAAAGAAGTTAAAATACAGAATGCCAAAATATTTTTAAAAGGGCAAAAGAATAAAAACAAACAAAAAACATTTAAAAAGAAGTGTGTTAAAAAAGTGTCTTAAAGAAAAAACTAATACATATACCAGGGGTAGGCAACCTTGGCTCTTTTATGATTCATGGACTTCAACTCCCAGAATCAGGAATTCTGGGAGTTGAAGTCCATGAATCATAAAAGAGCCAAGGTTGCCTACCCCTGACATATACGCTGCATTAACAGAGGGATAGAATCAAGATCAGGTGAAGTATTAATACCACTTTACAAGGCCTTGGTAAGGCCACACTTGGAATACTGCATCCAGTTTTGGTCACCACGATGTAAAAAAGATGTTGAGACTCTAGAAAGAGTACAGAGAAGAGCAACAAAGATGATTAGGGGACTGGAAGCTAAAACATATAAGGAAAGGCTGCTGGAATTGGGTATGTCTAGTTTAATGAAGAGAAGGACGAGGGGGGACATGATAGCAATGATCCAGTATCTCAGGGGCTGCCCCAAAGAAGAGGGAGTCAAGCTATTCTCCAAAGCGCCTGAAGGCAGGACAAGAAGCAACGGATGTAAACCTAACCAAAGAGAGAAGCAACCTAGAACTAAGGAGAAACTTCCTGACAGTTAGAACAATTAATCAGTGGAACAACCTGCCTCCAGAAGTTGTGATTGCGCCAACACTGGAAGTTTTTAAGAAGAGACTGGACAGCCATCTGTCCGAAATGGTCTAGGCCGGGTTTCCTGCCTGAGCAGGGGGTTGGACTCGATGACCTCCAAGGTCCCTTCCAACTTTATTATTATTATTATTATTATTATTATTATTATTATTATTATTATTATTAAATACAGCTGTCAACGCTGTAAACATTGGATGTTCCCGCTCTGGCAACTGATGAAAATCGCAGCCATTTTCTCTTTTTGCTTTTAACATGCTTTTCCTTCTATTTAGAGATCAGGTGCAGAAGGGGGGTTGGGATGAATGCTTGAACTCAGCTTTGTGGGAACCCAAGGACGAATTGATAACGTTTTGGGGGGCTGGAGAGGGAGCCCACGTTTCAGGCTAATTGGAGAAGGTGTTGGGGTGGGAGTTGCAATTTGTTACTTTGTATGGGGGAAAGGGAAATTAGTTTTGGGTTCAACTATGTAGTGCCGATACTTTGTTTCCTGAATAAAATGTTCTTTAAGGAAGAATTCTTGCCTTGCATTTCTTTTGATGGGTTTCATCTATTGGAACCATGACAACAGCAATGCTAGTTTTCCACCACTTGTGAAACAGGCATAATTATGCATAATTATATTAATAACAAAATAGTTAACAGAAGAAACAATAATAATGAACATATTATATAAAGGTAATAACAATTGTGAACAAAAATAAGAGAAAGACAAGACTGAAATTCCAAAACCCTCTGTTAACTGTTATTATAATCAACTCGGAGAAAATTTATCATGACTTCAATCCCAAATCATCCCAAATATTATCTTAATTGGTCTCAGATCAAATATCGACATTTGTTTCTTTATACCATCTCTTATCAGTTGCTGATTGAATGAATACAATCAGTCCAATCTCCAAAGCCAATCTATCTTTCCCCCCCAAAAAACAGGTAAAATTGTTCCTCAGTTAGGTGTATTAAGTCCATTTTCCCCTCTCCTTCAAACTTCAGGAGATTTCTTACTGGTTGATCCCATCGAAGAAGGCGAGAAAGTGAAAGCAGAAATCAGTTTTGTCCTCTACAAGGACCACGTTCGGTACCTTAAGAAGGAAGGATATTGGTGGGTATCTATGCTTTGCAAGTTGTCCAGATTTGCCTTATGGAGGAGATGGGCAACATATCGATTTAATAAAAATAAAGAAATAGCGAGCGAGAGAGCGGTGTGTTCCGGAGGGAAGGAGAGGAAATAGCTTACAGTATGTGCCCATTTTCCTTACAGCATCTTTGATTTAGCAGAAGAAGCTGCTTTGTTTGACCGAATATACTTTCCTAATCGATTTTATCAAGGAACGGAACAGAATAAACGGAGTAGAAGGGGACCTTGGAGGTCTTCTAGTCCAGCTCCCTGCTTAAGCAGGAAACCTTAAAAAAAGAGTATAAAGGGTTTTCACCACAGCGTCTCAGTTCGGGACATGGAAATTCTGAAGGGTGAAATAATTTTTACAAACTATCCTACAACATGATGTTGACGTTCTTTCTCGTTTTCCCCCTTGCAGGCCTGATGCTTTCTTGGGGGACGTAAAAGGAACTCGAAGCAATACTAAAGAAAGGTAAAGGTGGACAAGATGGGGATGAGAGCTAGTCAGGGGCAGTGGTTAAGATGGTGGTCTAGAAACTAGGAGACAGTGAGTTCTAGTCCCACCGTAGGCACGGAAGCCAGCTAGGTGACTTTGGGCCATTCGCTGGGAGTTGGTGAGCTCTAATCTTGCCTTAGGCATGAAAACCAACTTGGTGACTTTGGGCCAGTCTCAGCCCAACCTACCTTACAGGGCTGTTGTTATGGGGAAAATAGGAGGAAGGAATGTATGTTCACTGCCTTCTGTTGCTTGTAAAGTAATAAAGGCAGGATAAAAATTCCAATAAATAAAATGGGAGACCTGGACACCTGTGGGAATGGCTTTTCAAAAGCACTTGCCCAGAAGGGAAGAAATTGCTGAAAATTATTATCAATATTTTATGTTAAGATTTTGAAAAAAGTCACTTCAGGTGATGATCTTGGCATTTAAAACAATGAAGCAATAACAAGTTTTATTTCAAATGTTGATGCCCAATTGTTTAAAAGCTCTAAACCTCCATTGGTGGATTTCTGATTATTATCTTATTATAATATTAATCGTAATCTAAAGTAGTTTTACCAATCCTGCCATTTCTCTTTGCCCTCCATTGCCTAAGCTGTGGGGAAAATTTGGCAGAAGGTTGTCTGTTTTAACTAGCTTTTGCTCTTAAAGTTATTAAATCTTAAAAACAATACACCAGATGGCTAAAATGATTGTTAATATCGTTGGCTTTAAAATCAAACATTTAAACTCTTTTGCCTGAATTATAATTTGATGCAATTTAGCTCAGTTAAAAATGTGATAGAAATAATTAAAATTGAATGTTTGAAGCTTTCCCCCCCCCCAAGAACCTTTTTTTAAATCTTTCTAGTAGAGAGGGGTTAGAAAGCACCCCTCAGTCTTCTGGGGAACAGGATTCTGAAGATGATGACACTGACTTGTTTGTGAACACAAACCGAATAACCTACGACTTTATGGAGAGCGAGGAGAGCAGCGACTCGGAGGAAGAAGAAAAATAACAACAGAGCAGATCAAGCCAGCCTGACATCCTGGTCTAACCCAGAAGGAATGTGGCTCGGATCTCAGCCAAAGTGAGCGTGGACTACTAGATGTGGTCTCTTTAGGGCAGGGGTCTCCCAATGTGGCTGAAGACTTGTGGACTCCATGGCGGTCCATGGCTGGCTGGGGAATTCTGGGAGACCACAAGTCTTCAAGTTGCCCCGTTTGGGGACCCCCGCTTTAGGGGTTCAGGAGCCCCAACTCAGCTTCCCAAAGGACGACTGGAGTTCTCTGGTGAGACGACATTATCATCAGAAGGGCTGTAGTTGAAATTCTCTGGTTGTTTTTGCTTTTTCCTTCTCAGGGTTTTGAGAATGGGTTACTCTGCCCTGAATTTTTTTACTCTTGGGGCCAGTTTTGGGCAGCTGTTTTCCTGTTTGGGGTTTGAATGCTTCCATTTGAAGTGCTGGAGGCGGCTGTGTGAACATCCCTAACCTGCTGCAGATTAAGGAGGAAGCTGTTCCTCGTTCAGCGCATTGGCTTCCCTCTGTGGGCACCTGGCCCCTACTCTTAATTCGCTCCGTTTCTCTTGCCTTTGTTTAATAAAAGCGTCCTCCAAATGCAGCGAGTGTTGAATCTGTGACTTTATTCAGCCGTTTTGTGGGAACAGACATGAAATCTCCCCAGTTTACAAAAGGGGAAATGCCGTCGCTTTGGTTAGTCCTGGGATTACGCACTTCAATCCTGGCATCATTGAGCTGCATGAATACGTTTTCTATTTAAAAATAAATAAATTGGAAAATGAAAGAACAGGCAGTCCTCAATGTACGACCCCAATTGGGCCCAAAATTTATGTTGCTAAATGAGAAATTTGCTAAGTGAGTTTTGCCCCATTTTATGATTTTTTTCTCGTCACATTTGTTAAGTGAATCGTTGCAATTCTTAAATTAGTAACACGGTTGTTAAGTGAATCTGGCTTCCCCACAGAGTTTGCTTGTCAGAAGGTCGCAAAAGTCACAAAATGACCCCGGGGATGCTGCAACCGTCATAAATGTGAGTCAGTTGCCAAGGGGCTGAATATTGATCACGTGACCCTGGGGACGCTGCAACGGTCTTGTGAAAACTGGTCATAAGTCACTTTTTTTAGTTTCATTGTGACTTTTGATCACTAAATGAACTGCTGTAAGTCAAGGACCACCAGTAAAAGTTCCTTGCCTTAAGCATTCATTTAGTGACTGCTCAAAGTTACAACAGCACTGAAAAAAGTGACTTACGACTGACCCTTGCACTTACAACTGTTGCAGGCGCTTGGCAGGCAGGCATTTAACAATGGAGTCACGTGACCCACATTTGCAACCTTCCCAACCAGCTTCTGACAAGCAAAGAAAGCTGGATCCGCTTAACAACCACGTGATTCCTTAAGAACAAGAGGGATTCACTCATCTGTGGCAAAAAAAAGATATAAATTCAGGTGCCTCTCACTTCACTGCCTTGCTTAGCAACAAAAATTCTGGCTTGCTATTGTGGTACCTGTAGCTTGATGAACAGACACGAGGACCCAGCTATAAAAAGTTACAAATGGCAGCCGTGGTTTGTTTCACCCTTTTTTCTCCAAGTGTTTCTGAACAGTAGAATAATTTTCCTGACATTTCTAGCACTAGAATTCCTTATAATATTAGAAGAGAAGATTTATAGCTCAGGGCTGAACTGGGGGCTCCTTGGTGCTCTGTGAACTTTTTCCTGCAGAAGTTTCATTATCCATTCCTAGCACTGATGGCGTTACCTAATTGGGTAATGAAACGTCTGCAAGAAAACCACCAAGCTCGGAGAGCACCGAGGACCCCACATTCCCATACTCTACTATATATAAATCCATTTAATGTGGAATGACGCATCTTTGAAACACGATTGGATGTGTTTGCATAATGCTAACTCACAGTTAGGGGAATCAGTTTATTCACTGAGCCCAGCCATGGAATTGGGTAACTGATCCCTCCAACCAAGCAGCCACTGGAAGCCAGGCTGAAGAAAAAGCTGCAGTTTCCCTTCTTTAACCTCGTAGGAAAAGTCCATTCAATGTATTCTCTCCCGCACCCCAAAACTTCAAAAACATTCCACCGCTGAATGCAGAAAGAAAAGGCTTCAACAATGAGGTCTCAGCTATTTTTATTACAGCGATTTGGTTTCACACAGGGATATAAAAAGTTGCTTAAAAACTCAGCCCCACAACTATGTACACAGAAGAGCGGTGAGTGCAGGGTTAGGTGGACGAGACTCCCACCGGAAGCGACAGATGGAGACAATCCTTGCACATCCCGCAAGCACAACTGCGTCCAAAGCGTTCCCACCGACAACAGGAAGCCGGTGCTTCACTTGGTGATGGTGTTTCTGGAGAGAAAGAACACAATTAGGGAAAGACGCGCAGGAAAGTCCTCTCCGCCCACCCAATTGGGAAAAGTCTTTTGGTTGAGTCCTCCTCAGGATGTCCTAACCAGCGGTGTCCAATCTTCGCAATGTTTAAGGCTGGTGACTTCAACTCCATGCTGGCTGGGGAATTCTGGGAGTTGTAAAGTTGCTAAGATTGGAAACCTCTGGTTTAGAACACCATCCTGAAGTTGGTGCCCTCCAGGGATGCTGCAACCACATCTGGGGTCTTGGACCAACCAATGGGGAGCACATTCATCCTCTTGAGATGCCAAGTTAAGAGGAATGACTAGACGAGATTTCAGATGCAAATAGATGTCCCTCAAATTCCTTTTCCTGCAGGGGGGGCCTTATCCAAATTAAGGGAGGAATAGACACCAGCTGGCATTGCCTTTTCCCCATAATTCTTCGCTCCACTCCCCAACGAAAGCGAACACAGGAAGGAACGGTAGAGGACAGCCAAGGAAGCCATTCTGGGGATTTGACTTCAGAGAAGACCATCGCATCTCGGGCTGGTGCCCAGCTGTCAAAATCAGCCCCCCCCCGGCGTGCCCCCCCGACGTCCTTACGCATTCATGCTCTTCCCGCTACCGCTGAGCACGATGTACGGCGTCTTCTGAGCTTTCTGCTTCTCCTGGAGCAAAGCCACCGTGCCCAGTGGGGTGTCACTGGAGCTCATCTTCTTCAAGAGCTGGAAAACAGGAGTCGCAGCGCTGGAGCCAATATTCTCTGCGCCCTGCTTTCCCCTCGCGGCTGGGGTTGACTACAGCAGCGGCCCCCAACCTTTGGGGCACCAGGGACCGGTTCCACGGAGAAAGGTTTTCCCCCGGATCGGAAGGATGTGGTTTTGCATGCTGCCTGCATCCCATGGATGGGGCTTCGCTTGTTTTGCGTGGCCCGGTTGCTGGCATGCCGTGGCCTGATGCCGGTCCACGGACCAGGGGTTGGGGACCCTTGGACTACAGCATGTGACACAGGAAGGTGTGAGAATGAGGGAAACTGTTTTGCAACGGTCTCCTTCCAGACCAAGGCCCAAACTTCTCAGGGGTGGACTTGCTGCTCTTTGCACCACCTTTTCTCAACCTTTAAACTGTGGACTTCAACTCCCAGAATTCCCAAGCCCCCATGCTTTAAAATCTGTGGACTTCAATGCCCAGCAATCTGGGACCTGAAAGGCCATACAACTTAAAATTGCCAGGGTTGAGAAACAATGCTCTTTAATATCTTATTAAAATTTTTGTGTCTGTAACCTTTAGTTGGACAAAAGGTTGCATTGTAGGGCAAAAACGTTTCAGCCCAGGGATCTCGGGGGCTAACTTGACAGAGCGCAACTAAAATCCGTGATCCAGGACTCCCAAAGGGAAATCTGGCAAATTGCATTAAGCAGTTTATGATCTAAAAATTATCATATCATATTACAGGTAGTCCTCGGCTTAGGACCACAACTGAGCCCAAAATTTCTGTTTATTTATTTATTTATTTATTAATTGCATTTATATCCCGCCCTTCTCCTTTCGGACTCAGGGCGGCTGACAAATGATAAAAAACTAACATACATAATATTACACCTAGTTGAGGCTTCCGGTGGCAGGCGATTTCGCTGGTCGCAGCTGTTTGCTGCCTCCCGCCTGTTTTGCGTAAAAGCCGGTTTGACAGCCAGCATCTGCTGCCAAACGGCTTGATACCTTTCCCCTGGGCATAAGGGGATCGGTGAGCTGCCCGGGGTAGGAGTTGAGTTCCCGAGTCGTCCTATATGGACGATGTAGGTGAGNTGCAATGGTCATAATTGTGAAAAATGGTCCCAAGTCATTTTTTTCAGTGCTGTTATAACTTCGAACAGTCACTAAATGAACTGTTATAAGTCGAGGACTACCTGTATTTTATTTTATTAAATTTTTATGTATTGGCTTAAATAAATCTTTTTACAACTTAACGTGTGATCCTGATTCTTTGTGCCTAACAGATAGAGAGCAGTGCGCCTTATTCTAAGCTCCAGAGAAACAACTGAGAATATTGGGTGGAGCCTGAGGGGCAGGTCTAAAATTTACCATCAACTTAGATATTATTTTGAAAAAATGGAACACAATATTACGTAACTGCCATTGAATTTGATTTTAGTTTAATTAAAGCACATTGATTTTTTCCCCTGGCCTTTCCTGCCCAGTTTGGGTAGTAGGCTCTCTGCAGGTTAAGTGTCCAAAGCTGTTTGCTTTCTCCATTTTGAGAGTCAAGTTTTAATGGCTTTTTGCAGCATTCAACATTGTGGACGCATCCTGGAAGCAATTCATCTCAGCACAGAAACCGTTTACAGTGGTTAACAGAGCATCATGTCCCAGGCGACCAAGCGCAAACATGTGGTCAAAGAAGTGTTAGAGGAATATGTGGTTCCTTCAGAGAGACAGCAGATTGTCCGGGTAAGACTGGTTAACTTAATTAATTAGCCTGAATCGAGGTTTATGTGGACCTCCAGCGTCTAGAGCAGCCAGCAACGGGGGAAAAGTTCCGATACGTCGTGCGACGTCACATGACATCGCGAGTTTGACATGTCTGGTCTAGCGGCTGCGCAAGAGCACACTACATTCTCCCACGGCCTCTAAACATTGTGTGAGAATTGGGTGTGCTTTCAAGAATAGTTGTGGTCTGGTGTTGTTGAATGTTGGTGTATTGCCCAAACCATTGTGGCATGTCCATCTTGACACACGTGTCATAACTTCACTATCACTGGTCTAGCTGGTAGCTCAGTGTGCCGTGTGAACAGAGACCAATTTCAGATTAAGCCAGAAAACAGGCCGAGTTCTTACCGGCAACTTTGCTCTGCTCCTCCAGGTGCTGGGGACCCCAGGAAACAACCTCCATGAAGTGGAGACCCCTGAGAGGACGCGGTTCCTGGTCAGCATGCCCACCAAGTTCCGTAAGAACATTTGGATCAAGAGAGGTGAGTGGCCAGGGGTCCTTGCATTTGCAAGGGGGAAAACGGCCCTCTTCTTTTCCCTCTTCCCCCTATCACAGTTGTCTATCTTTCCCTCCCTCCCTCCCTCCCTCCAGGAGATTTCTTTTTTTTTTGAGTGTGTGGAAATTTTTTAGTGTATTCAAAGAAGTTAAAATACAGAATGCCAAAATATTTTAAAAAGGGCAAAAGAATAAAAACAAACAAAAAACATTAAAAAAGAAGTGTGTTAAAAAAGTGTCTTAAAGAAAAAACTAATACATATACGCTGCATTAACAGAGGGATAGAATCAAGATCACGTGAAGGGTTAATACCACTTTACAATGCCTTAGTAAGGCCACACTTGGAATACTGCATCCAGTTTTGGTCACCACAATGTAAAAAAGATGCTGAGACTCTAGAAAGAGTGCAGAGAAGAGCAACAAAGATGATTAGGGGACTGGAGGCCAAAACATGCAAGGAACGGTTGCTGGAATTGGGTATGTCTAGTTTAATGAAGAGAAGGACGAGGGGGGACATGATAGCAGTGCTCCAATATCTCAGGGGCTGCCCCAAAGAAGAGGGAGTCAAGCTATTCTCCAAAGCGCCTGAAAGCAGGAGAAGAAGCAACGGATGGAAACTAACCAAGGAGAGAAGCAACCTAGAACTAAGGAGAAACTTCCTGACAGTTAGAACAATCAACCAGTGGAACAACCTGCCTCCAGAAGCGGTGAATGCTCCAACACTGGAAGTCTTTAAGAAGAGACTGGACAGCCATTTGTCTTAAATGGTACTATAGGGTTTCCTGCCTGAGCAGGGGGTTGGACCGGATGACCTCCAAGGTCCCTTCCAACTTTATTATTATTATTATTATTATTATTATTATTATTATTATTATTATTACTACTACTACTACTACTACTACTACTACTACTACTACTACTACTACTACTACTACTACTATTATCAAATACAGCTGTCAACACTGTAAACATTGGATGTTCCTGCTCTGGCAACTGATGAAAATCGCAGCTATTTTCTCTTTTTGCTTTTAACATGCGTTTCCTTCTATTTAGAGATCAGGTGCAGAAGGGGGGTTGGGATGAATGCTTGAACTCAGCTTTGTGGGAACCCAAGGACGAATTGATAACGTTTTGGGGGGCTGGAGAGGGAGCCCACGTTTCAGGCTAATTGGAGAATGTGTTGGGGTGGGAGTTGCAATTTGTTACTTTGTATGGGGGAAAGGGAAATTAGTTTTGGGTTCAACTATGTAGTGCCGATACTTTGTTTCCTGAATAAAATGTTCTTTAAGGAAGAATTCTTGCCTTGAAGTTCTTTTGATGGGTTTCATCTATCGCAGTGGTTCTCAACCTGTGGGTCGGGACCCCATTTGGGATCGATCGACCATTTCATGGGGGTCGCCAAGCAAGGCTGTCCGCCATTTTTTTCCCCGCCATTTTTTTTGTCCGCCATTTTTTCCCCCTTTTCCGGTGGGTGCCTTACCTCCCTTGGGCTGGGCCAGCTGGAGGTCGGCCTGCTCCGTCTCTGCCGCTTGCCAGCTACACCTTGGCCGGCGCAGGGGGCGGAACCACGCATGCGCGGTGCTCCCGGGCAGGGAAAGTCTTCGACTTACGACCAGTTGGGTAGTCCTCGACTTACGACCGGTTTAGTCCTCGACTTACGACCGGTTTAGTCCTCGACGTACGACCGATTTAGTCCTCGACTTACGACCGGTTGGGGTCACGGCATTAAAAAGGTTGAGAACCACTGATCTATCGGAACCATGACAACAGCAATGCTAGTTTTCCACCACTTGTGAAACAGGCATAATTATGCATAATTATATTAATAACAAAATAGTTAACAGAAGAAACAATAATAATGAACATATTATATAAAGGTAATAACAATTGTGAACAAAAATAAGAGAAAGACAAGACTGAAATTCCAAAACCCTCTGTTAACTGTTATTATAATCAACTCGGAGAAAATTTATCATGACTTCAATCCCAAATCATCCCAAATATTATCTTAATTGGTCTCAGATCAAATATCGACATTTGTTTCTTTATACCATCTCTTATCAGTTGCTGATTGAATGAATACAATCAGTCCAATCTCCAAAGCCAATCTATCTTTCCCCCCAAAAAACAGGTAAAATTGTTCCTCAGTTAGGTGTATTAAGTCCATTTTCCCCTCTCCTTCAAACTTCAGGAGATTTCTTACTGGTTGATCCCATCGAAGAAGGCGAGAAAGTGAAAGCAGAAATCAGTTTTGTCCTCTACAAGGACCACGTTCGGTACCTTAAGAAGGAAGGATATTGGTGGGTATCTATGCTTTGTAAGATGTCCAGATTTGCCTTATGGAGGAGATGGGCAACATATCGATTTAATAAAAATAAAGAAATAGCGAGCGAGAGAGCGGTGTGTTCCGGAGGGAAGGAGAGGAAATAGCTTACAGTATGTGCCCATTTTCCTTACAGCATCTTTGATTTAGCAGAAGAAGCTGCTTTGTTTGATCGAATATACTTTCCTAATCGATTTTATCAAGGAACGGAACAGAATAAACGGAGTAGAAGGGGACCTTGGAGGTCTTCTAGTCCAGCTCCCTGCTTAAGCAGGAAACCTTAAAAAAAGAGTATAAAGGGTTTTCACCACAGCTTCTCAGTTCGGGACATGGAAATTCTGAAGGGTGAAATAATTTTTACAAACTATCCTACAACGTGATGTTGACGTTCTTTCTCGTTTTCCCCCTTGCAGGCCTGATGCTTTCTTGGGGGATGTAAAAGGAACTCGAAGCAATACTAAAGAAAGGTAAAGGTGGACAAGATGGGGATGAGAGCTAGTCGCGGGCGGTGGTTAAGATGGTGGTCTAGAAACTAGGAGACAGTGAGTTCTAGTCCCACCGTAGGCACGGAAGCCAGCTAGGTGACTTTGGGCCATTCGCTGGGAGTTGGTGAGCTCTAATCTTGCCTTAGGCATGAAAACCAACTTGGTGACTTTGGGCCAGTCTCAGCCCAACCCACCTTACAGGGCTGTTGTTATGGGGAAAATAGGAGGAAGGAATGTATGTTCACTGCCTTCTGTTGCTTGTAAAGTAATAAAGGCAGGATAAAAATTCCAATAAATAAAATGGGAGACCTGGACACCTGTGGGAATGGCTTTTCAAAAGCACTTGCCCAGAAGGGAAGAAATTGCTGAAAATTATTATCAATATTTTATGTTAAGATTTTGAAAAAAGTCACTTCAGGTGATGATCTTGGCATTTAAAACAATGAAGCAATAACAAGTTTTATTTCAAATGTTGATGCCCAATTGTTTAAAAGCTCTAAACCTCCATTGGTGGATTTCTGATTATTATGATCTTATTATAATATTAATCGTAATCTAAAGTAGTTTTACCAATCCTGCCATTTCTCTTTGCCCTCCATTGCCTAAGCTGTGGGGAAAATTTGGCAGAAGGTTGTCTGTTTTAACTAGCTTTTGCTCTTAAAGTTATTAAATCTTAAAAACAATACACCAGATGGCTAAAATGATTGTTAATATCGTTGGCTTTAAAATCAAACATTTAAACTCTTTTGCCTGAATTATAATTTGATGCAATTTAGCTCAGTTAAAAATGTGATAGAAATAATTAAAATTGAATGTTTGAAGCTTTCCCCCCCCCAAGAACCTTTTTTTTAATCTTTCTAGTAGAGAGGGGTTAGAAAGCACCCCTCAGTCTTCTGGGGAACAGGATTCTGAAGATGATGACACTGACTTGTTTGTGAACACAAACCGAATAACCTACGACTTTATGGAGAGCGAGGAGAGCAGCGACTCGGAGGAAGAAGAAAAATAACAACCAGTCTTACAGAGCAGATCAAGCCAGCCTGACATCCTGGTCTAACCCAGAAGGAACGTGGCTCGGATCTCAGCCAAAGTGAGCGTGGACTACTAGATGTGGTCTCTTTAGGGCAGGGGTCTCCAAATGTGGCTGAAGACTTGTGGACTCCATGGCGGTCCATGGCTGGCTGGCGAATTCTGGGAGACCACAAGTCTTCAAGTTGCCACGTTTGGGGACCCCCGCTTTAGGGGTTCAGGAGCCCCAACTCAGCTTCCCAAAGGACGACTGGAGTTCTCTGGTGAGACGACATTATCATCAGAAGGGCTGTAGTTGAAATTCTCTGGTTGTTTTTGCTTTTTCCTTCTCAGGGTTTTGAGAATGGGTTACTCTGCCCTGAAATTTTTTACTCTTGGGGCCAGTTTTGGGCAGCTGTTTTCCTGTTTGGGGTTTGAATGCTTCCATTTGAAGTGCTGGAGGAGGCTGTGTGAACATCCCTAACCTGCTGCAGATTAAGGAGGAAGCTGTTCCTCGTTCAGCGCATTGGCTTCCCTCTGTGGGCACCTGGCCTCTACTCTTAATTCGCTCCGTTTCTCTTGCCTTTGTTTAATAAAAGCGTCCTCCAAATGCAGCAAGTGGTGAATCTGTGACTTTATTCAGCCGTTTTGTGGGAACAGACATGAAATCTCCCCAGTTTACAAAAGGGGAAATGCCGTCGCTTTGGTTAGTCCTGGGATTACGCACTTCAATCCTGGCATCATTGAGCTGCATGAATACGTTTTCTATTTAAAAATAAATAAATTGGAAAATGAAAGAACAGGCAGTCCTCAACGTACGACCCCAATTGGGCCCAAAATTTATGTTGCTAAATGAGAAATTTGCTAAGTGAGTTTTGCCCCATTTTATGATTTTTTTCTCGCCACATTTGTTAAGTGAATCATTGCAATTCTTAAATTAGTAACACGGTTGTTAAGTGAATCTGGCTTCCCCACAGAGTTTGCTTGTCAGAAGGTCGCAAAAGTCACAAAATGACCCCGGGGATGCTGCAACCATCATAAATGTGAGTCAGTTGCCAAGGGGCTGAATATTGATCACGTGACCCTGGGGACGCTGCAACGGTCTTGTGAAAACTGGTCATAAGTCACTTTTTTTAGTTTCATTGTGACTTTTGATCACTAAATGAACTGCTGTAAGTCAAGGACCACCAGTAAAAGTTCCTTGCCTTAAGCATTCATTTAGTGACTGCTCAAAGTTACAACAGCACTGAAAAAAGTGACTTACGACTGACCCTTGCACTTACAACTGTTGCAGGCGCTTGGCAGGCAGGCATTTAACAATGGAGTCACGTGACCCGCATTTGCAACCTTCCCAACCAGCTTCTGACAAGCAAAGAAAGCTGGATCCGCTTAACAACCACGTGATTCCTTAAGAACAAGAGGGATTCACTCATCTGTGGCAAAAAAAAAAGATATAAATTCAGGTGCCTCTCACTTCACTGCCTTGCTTAGCAACAAAAATTCTGGCTTGCTATTGTGGTACCTGTAGCTTGATGAACAGACACGAGGACCCAGCTATAAAAAGTTACAAATGGCAGCCGTGGTTTGTTTCACCCTTTTTTCTCCAAGTGTTTCTGAACAGTAGAATAATTTTCCTGACATTTCTAGCACTAGAATTCCTTATAATATTAGAAGAGAAGATTTATAGCTCAGGGCTGAACTGGGGGCTCCTTGGTGCTCTGTGAACTTTTTCCTGCAGAAGTTTCATTATCCATTCCTAGCACTGATGGTGTTACCTAATTGGGTAATGAAACGTCTGCAAGAAAACTACCAAGCTCGGAGAGCACCGAGGACCCCACATTCCCATACTCTACTATCTATAAATCCATTTAATGTGGAATGACGCATCTTTGAAACACGATTGGATGTGTTTGCATAATGCTAACTCACAGTTAGGGGAATCAGTTTATTCACTGAGCCCAGCCATGGAATTGGGTAACTGATCCCTCCAACCAAACAGCCACTGGAAGCCAGGCTGAAGAAAAGCTGCAGTTTCCCTTCTTTAACCTCGTAGGAAAAGTCCATTCAATGTATTCTCTCCCGCACCCCAAAACTTCAAAAACATTCCACCGCTGAATGCAGAAAGGCTTCAACAATGAGGTCTCAGCTATTTTTATTACAGCGATTTGGTTTCACACAGGGATATAAAAAGTTGCTTAAAAACTCAGCCCCACAACTATGTACACAGAAGAGCGGTGAGCGCAGGGTTAGGTGGACGAGACGCCCACCGGAAGCGACAGATGGAGACAATCCTTGCACATCCCGCAAGCACAACTGTGTCCAAAGCGTTCCCACCGACAACAGGAAGCCGGTGCTTCACTTGGTGATGGTGTTTCTGGAGAGAGAGAACAGAATTAGGGAAAGACGCGCAGGAAAGTCCTCTCTGCCCACCCAACTGGGAAAAGTCTTTTGGTTGAGTCCTCCTCAGATGTCCTAACTAGCGGTGTCCAATCTTCGCAATGTTTAAGGCTGGTGACTTCAACTCCATGCTGGCTGGGGGATTCTGGGAGTTGTAAAGTTGCTAAGATTGGAAACCTCTGGTTTAGAACACCATCCTGAAGTTGGTGCCCTCCAGGGATGCTGCAACCACATCTGGGGTCTTGGACCAACCAATGGGGAGCACATTCATCCTCTTGAGATGCCAAGTTAAGAGGAATGACTAGACGAGATTTCAGATGCAAATAGATGTCCCTCAAATTCCTTTTCCTGCAGGGGGGGGGGCTTATCCAAATTAAGGGAGGAATAGACACCAGCCGGCATTGCCTTTTCCCCATAATTCTTCGCTCCACTCCCCAACGAAAGCGAACGCAGGAAGGAACGGTAGAGGACAGCCAAGCAAGCCATTCTGGGGATTTGACTTCAGAGAAGACCATCGCATCTCGGGCTGGTACCCAGCTGTCAAAATCAGCCCCCCACCAGGCGTGCCCCCCCGACATCCTTACGCATTCATGCTCTTCCCGCTACCGCTGAGCACGATGTACGGCGTCTTCTGAGCTTTCTGCTTCTCCTGGAGCAAAGCCACCGTGCCCAGTGGGGTGTCACTGGAGCTCATCTTCTTCAAGAGCTGGAAAACAGGAGTAGCAGCGCTGGAGCCAATATTCTCTGCGCCCTGCTTTCCCCTCGCGGCTGGGGTTGACTACAGCAGCGGCCCCCAACCTTTGGGGCACCAGGGACCGGTTCCACGGAGAAAGGTTTTCCCCCGGATCGGAAGGATGTGGTTTTGCATGCTGCCTGCATCCCACGGATGGGGCTTCGCTTGTTTTGCGTGGCCCGGTTGCTGGCATGCCGTGGCCTGATGCCGGTCCACGGACCAGGGGTTGGGGACCCTTGGACTACAGCATGTGACACAGGAAGGTGTGAGAATGAGGGAAACTGTTTTGCAACGGTCTCCTTCCAGACCAAGGCCCAAACTCCTCAGGGGTGGACTTGCTGCTCTTTGCACCACCTTTTCTCAACCTTTAAACTGTGGACTTCAACTCCCAGAATTCCCAAGCCCCCATGCTTTAAAATCTGTGGACTTCAATGCCCAGCAATCTGGGACCTGAAAGGCCATATAACTTAAAATTGCCAGGGTTGAGAAACAATGCTCTTTAATATCTTATTACAGTTTTTGTGTCTGTAACCTTTAGTTGGACAAAAGGTTGCATTGTAGGGCAAAAACGTTTCAGCCCAGGGATCTCGGGGGCTAACTTGACAGAGCGCAACTAAAATCCGTGACCCAGGACTCCCAAAGGGAAATCTGGCAAATTGCATTAAGCAGTTTATGATCTAAAAATTATCATATCATATTACAGGTAGTCCTCGGCTTACGACCACAACTGAGCCCAAAATTTCTGTTGCTAAGCAAGACAGTTGTTAAGTGAGTTTTGCCCTGTTTTTACAACTTTTCTTGCACGGTTCTTACATGAATTACTGCAGCCGTTAAGTTAATCACACGGTTGTTAAGTGAATCTGGCTTCCGCAATAATTTTGCTTGTCAGAAGGTCACAACGGGATCACATGACCCCGGGACCCTATGCAACCACTATAAATATGAGCCAGTTGCCAAGCATCTGAATTCTGATCACGTGATCACACGGGGATGCTGCAATAGTTTTAAGTGTGAAAAATGGTCGTTAAGTCACGTTTTTCAGTATCACTGTAACTTTGAACAGAAAGGCTGTAAGTGACATAACCTCTCTATGACACAACACAACAAGCCATAAAACATTTCCAGGGTGGTGCTGATATTTGGCTGTACCACCCAGTTCAGCCTGGGCTACTTTCAAGGCAAGTCCCTCTCGGAATATCTCCCTGAAGTTTTTTTTTAAGGAACTTTTCAAATACATGACGAGGTTGAAGGGAGACTGTGGAGTCTGCGAAGGGAAATATCTCTAAAAAAATGACCCAAGGCGTTTGTCAGTTTTTTATCTGATTAGCTCACTGCTGCTCCTCTCTCTTGGGTGGGGGGGAGCTGCCCTCTCTGGCACCGCCAGCTCTGTGCACCCTAACCCTTTCCCCTGGTTTTGAGAAAGCCCTTAAAAAGGTGGCCACAAAATCAGGACTGCTCCCTCTGCCGTGGGACGGTGCTTCCCTTGGGAGCTAAGGGTTCTTCTGCTCCGGATGGCTCAAAGTGGCTTCTCAAAGAGCAACTGGACTTCCTTATTATTTTTTTTCTTTTGCTTGAAAATGTTTCGCTTCTCATGCAAGAAGCTTTTTCTGTTCAAGGAAAAAAAATAAGGAAGTCCAGTTGCTTTTTGAAAAACATCTTGGAGACAACCGTGACCCGGAGGACGGCTGAGGACCTCCAGACCCAGGGGCTGCTGACGCTTACGGCTTTTTTAGTGCTTAGCTTAATGGTCTCTCTTAATCTGAATGTTTGAAGCTGAGAGCGCTTCTCTGTTCAAAGCCATCGTCAACTGGAGGGCCTGCCTGGATGAAGGGATGGACAAGACCGGCCTCTCAACGAAAACTCTGGCTTCCACGCCCGGGGACCTCCCCTGCCCCTTCCTCCCCACCACTCACCGCCTCCTCGTCCAGTTTCTTCATGCGCCGTTCGGTCTTCATCTTCCCAGAGCCCTTGCCGTGGAAGCGGTGAGACAGC